TTTTTTATGTATTTTATTTTATTCCATATTTGCTTTACATTTTGGGTGCTTTACAAATATTTATAAATGTTAGTATTTGTTTCCTCAAAAATCCTCAGCCGGCCTTTACCACGTGAGTTGGATGTTAGGCGTGTCACTTGCTTTGTCTAAAAACAAGAAAATATGATCTTCCAGACGACCCTTCTCCTTTCCAGCGGTCGACCTCCAATAGGATGGCTGGAAAGAACGTCTGTGAAATGAATGGCGCCCCAGACGATGTTGCAAAACAGAGGGTAGAGCTCTGCAAAATGGGTTACTAATTGCCTTGGAAACCTCCAAGGACTTCACAACCAAATAAGTGTAATAAAAGCTACAAATCCTAAAATAAATGCAATATCCTAAAGCAATTAAACTAATATGAAGTACTTAACAGAAAATAACATGTCATAAAGATTAAATTCGCAGACAACAGAATAAGTAAAATAGCAGACAATGATTTCAACTACGCAGCCCATAATGACAACTAAAATTGAAGAAGAAACTATGAAATGATTAAAGTCTGGAAACTTATAAATTCAAATCTGGAAATTGAAATGAAACAAATCGCATGTCTGGACATTATGCAGAAACAAAAGAACAAAGATAGAAACTGTTCATCCTATTTACATGAACAAATAACAAAACTAAATCCATAAAAAGAAGAAGAACTAACCGAATCAAAAGGGCAGACCTGTTTTGAAGGCTAAGTTGCTTCCAAATGCTTAAAAACTAATCCTAATTGGAATTTGCAGGAAAAAATATGATGAACAAACCTAGGCTAAGGCTATGAACAAATCTGGAAAATCTGGAAGATCTGAAAAATCTGGAAACTATTGCTGAAATCTGGAAAATGCAGTCTGAAAGCTGAAAAACATGCTCTGGGCAGTCTGTGTGTGTGTTGGGTAGTCTGTTTGTGTGTGCTGGGCAGGCTGTGAACTGTTCTCTTCTCTTTGTTTTTGTTCCCTTCGATGCTGGTAACCTCCTCCATGATCTTCTCCATGATCTTCGGTACTGTTCCTCCATTTTCGGCACTGTTCCTCCATGATCTGGTAGTGGGGTTGCAGGTCTGGCAGTTACTTAATAGTTATCTGATCTTTATTTAACTTTATCTCCAACAACCTTAAAGATAACTAGCTAAAAATCCTCAATTTCCCATTTTAAATCAAATTAAAACTACCAGATCCAATCTTATCTTCTGCCACCTAAGATCCAACCCTCTTGAAAATCCGTCTGGGCCGTTAAATTGTAAGCCAGCCCAGCCCAAATCCAGCCTATTGATTTTCTTGATAATTGAGCTTTACCTTGACACGTGGCCTTACCATATTGGTTTATTTTAGGTGTAAACAGTATTATATATGAAATTATTTAAATATTTTTAATAATTTTTTTAATATTAATTTGTTAAGAATTTTAAAATCTTTTCATTATTATCCTTGTCATTTTAATAGGTAGAAAGTCTTAAATTTTTTTGTTATAATCTCTTAT